ATGCATCGAAAGTTAAAATCCAATGATTATTGTTAAAATTACTGCAATATTTCTAAAAACGATAGCTTCGGTGATTTCGGACATTTCGCATTGTCGCAGAACGTTCAAAATAGCTTTATCCTCTAAGTCACACCCACTTTTCCGATAAAACCGAAGAAATCGTAACGATCCGACAATCAGTTGCTGAGATCTACTCAAAACAAAAGAAGAATAATAATAATAAGAAGAATAATTTTAACAAAAACAATAGTGTTTCACACAAGCTACGCAGTGTGAAACCCTAATTCTGAATGGTTATTGATAAATACATGTATAGAGAGAAATGGGGATTAACTTCAACTCTAATCACACTAGGTCATTTTGGGACTAACATGTGGTTTAGTTTTATTTCAATAATTCATTTGCACGTAGGGGTCTTTAGCAGTGTGAGAAAAACGGATGACCTGGCGAAAACCAATGAGATTGAACAGGCTACCCTACTAGTACTTGTCATGTACAAGTGGGGAATCGAAACCACGCTACTTAATTCAATGAGGTGGGGGGTGGATGGCTGAATGGTTAGCGTGCGTACGCTGTATCATAAAGTCTGTCATTGAGTCAACTGGGGTGGTTTCAAATCCCCGGTTGTGACAAGGAGGAGGGTCGCCTGTCCAACCTCGTGGGTTTTCTCCGGGTCCTCCGGTTTACTCCCACTGCTAAAGACCTCTACGCGCAAGCGAATTATTGAAATAAAAAATTGAACCATGTGTTAGTCCCGAAATGACCTTATTTGTGTTGAGTGGACGTTAAACCCGATTTATCTCTCTCTTAATTCAATGACGGAACTTATGATGCAACGAACATGCGTTAACCGTTTGACCACCGAAACCTCGAGGACGAAATAGATAGAGAGAAATGGGGCCTACGATTCAGTTTCAGTTCAATAATTGTTTGCGCCAGGAGTCTTTAGCACCTCATATGGTTAAAGAAGATTTGGTTATTGGTTGACTGAATTTTACAATTACAACCACCAATAATAGATTATATACTATTCAAAAAAAGTAGGGGATATTTGATTTTTAAGTGTTATTAAAGTCACCTAATGAAACTGACGAAGAAACAAATGACAAAATGAAATGAAGTTCACATTCATCGATTTATTCCAAATGATCGTTAGACTAAGTAAGGCACAGACTGACCATTATAAGGGTAAAATGATACCCGGGGTCAAACAGCAAAGTTACCACAGCATCACAACCAAGTCAGTAACGGGTAAATCCTCCTCTGTTTGCCAAACAAGCATTGATCCGACGTGGCATACTCCTAATGAGACGTCTAAGGTCATTTTGGTCCAGATTGTCCCATTCCTGTTGCAACGCAGCAGCAAGTTCTTGGACATTGGCAGGACGTTGTTGACGTTGACGTAACCTCTGTCCAAGCATGTCCCAGACATGCTCGATGGGGGAGAGGTCGGGACTCAGTGCTGGCCAAGGTAATGTGGTGATGTTCTGTTGTTGGAGGTAACCTGTAACGATCCTGGCCCTGTGACATCTTGCGTTGTCATCCTGGAAGATGAAACGGCGGCCATGACGTCGTGCGAACGGCACAACATGGACTGCCAAGATGTTGTCCCGGTAGTACTGGCCTGTAACACGCCCTGCAACAACATGTAAAGCCGTTCTTCCAGCAACAGTGATGCCTCCCCACACCATAACAGAACCACCCCCAAATCGATCATGTCTGATGACGTTAACGTCTTGGAAGCGCTCGTTTCGACGACGCCACACCCTCCTACGTCTGTCCAAAAAATCAACAGTGAACCTTGACTCATCTGAAAACATCACATTGCTCCAGCGTCGATTATCCCAGTGTTGACGATCCCTACACCAACGACGTCTTGCCTGAATGTGATGATCTCTCAAACAAGGGATCACGCGAGGACGTCGGGCGCGAAGGTGACCCCTATGCAGTCGATTCCGAATCGTCTGGCCACTCATTCTCACACCAGTGTCTGTTTGAAGACCAGCGCTGATCTGATTTGATCTGATGACACGATTTCTCAAGGCCAAGGTACGGATAAATCGATCCTGGGCTTGAGTTGTCGCCCTTGGTCGACCTGAGCGTGGTCTGTCCTGTACAGATTGTGTATCACGGTATCTGGACCATAGCCTGCTTATGACAGACTGAGAAACATTCATCGTCCGCGCCACAACCGCCTGTGTTGTGCCGATCTGTAGCATGCCAAGGGCACGTAACCTTTCATTTTGGGTAAGCCGACGCATATCAAAATTTGTTTTCTGGTCACTAAAACAATTAAACTGATGTTTCCACCCTGGAATTCAATGCCACAATGACTGTAACATTCAAAGTCAGAGTCGTGCAAATCTTGGGTTGGACCCCCATGATGATCCCAAGCATCACCTGCATTCCATGCGGTACCTATTGGTGCGTTTGGGCGTCACATGTAACTGGAAATGTTTCTTCTGTTAGGTTCTATAGTGACTTTTTTCGTAGTCATTTGCATATTTTAGTATTATGCCCCCAAAATCAAATATCCCCTACTTTTTTTGAATAGTATACTTAGGTAGGCCCACATCTATGTCTGCCTGTACATATTTACTAAGTTAAAATCAAAAATAAAATTATGTTCATAATTTTTAATTGGGATACAACTAAAGGAAATCGGTGTTATTTCTGACTGGAGTGCCGAAAAATAATAATATCACAATAATAAAGACAGATCTTAGAAATTGGTTACTTTCTTTCTGATGTTGAAATGATAAAATCAAACCAGAATTTTAAGTTTACTCTAAATAATTATAAAATTTTATATTTTTTCACAATGGTTTTAAGTTTACTTACTCTAATTAATTATAATTAAAAAATTCAACTTGACAAATGAGCCATACAAACAAATCCTGTAGCCTAACTACCAATAAAAACAACAAGGAAGCTAAATTTTAATAAAATGTTGTACCAAGTTCTATGAGAGAGAGAAATGGGGTTTAACGTCCACTCGACACAAATTAGGTTATTTCGGGACTAACAAATGGTTCAATTTTATTTTAATAATTCGCTTACGCGTAGGGGTCTTTAGCAGTGGGAGGAAACCGGAGGACCCGGAGAAAACCCACGAGGTTGGACAGGCGACCTTACTCCTCTTCACGTACAACCGGGGATTCGAAACCACGCCAGTTGACTCAATGACACGTTATAATACAGCGCGCACGTGCTAACCATATTCGGCCATCCAGCCCCCCCCCCCCCCAAGTTCATAACCTGCAAAATTATAGCAAAAATGATGGAACAAAATTTGTAAACAAATGAACCGCGGTTTAACTTCTGAGTACTCAATTCTGTATTGGTTTTGTGTCGTTTTTTTTATAGACACTATGGGCATGACTGACTAAAGAATAAACTCGAGTTGAAGACTGGCATACGCTGTGAGATGTTCTATGACGAATATTTTTCTTTATCCCGAAATTGATAAAGCACTCGATTCAAAATATTTTTATTTCTTTCGTAAATAAAATATGCGGCCTCAAATAATTAAGATAGGTTGCTAGGCAACGAAACATATGCCCACAGCAGCTAAATTGTCCGGGCGGTCGACAAGGGTTGTCGCATACTTATTCCTTTGTAGGTGATTGGGGAACTTTACAAGACATTCCCATACAGATCAGATTATAAATTTTGTCGTTTGCCTTAACTCTAGAAATTATTGACGGAAATTTCTGAAATTCAATAGACCTCTGTGTCACAAATTTAAATGATGCAAATAAATTTCATACATATTGGATGATAACTTTCATGAATCGAGCATTAACAAGGTTTAACAAAGTGAAACAAGGGCCATAACTCTAGAAGTAATTATTGTAAATTGCTGAAATTCAATAGGCTTCGTGGTGTCATTAATTTAAATAATGCATATAAATTTCACAAAGATCTGATGATAACTTTTGGCATTAGAGCGTTCACAAGGTTCAATAAAGTGAAACAAGGGCCATAACTCTAGGCGTAATAAACGGAAATTGCAGAAATTCAATAGGCTTCCTCGTTTCACTAATTTAAATCATGCATATAAATTTCACAAAGATTGGGTGATAACTTTTGGCGTTAACAGCGTTCACAAGGTTCAATAAAGTGAAACAAGGGCCATAACTCTAGATATAGTGAACAGAAATTGTTGAAATTCAATAGGCTTCTTCGTTTCCCTAATTCAAATAATGCATATAAATTTCAGAAAGTTCGGATGATAACTTTTGGCGTTAGAGCGTTCACAAGGTTCAATAAAGTGAAACAAGGGCCATAACTCTAGACGCAATAAACGGAAATTGCTGAAATTGAATAGGCTTCTTCGTTTCCCTAACTTAAATATTGCATATAAATTTCACAAAGATCGAATGTTAACTTTTGTCATTAGAGCGCTCACAAGGTTCAACAAAGTGAAATAGGCTTCTATATCTCACTAATTTAAACAACATATATCTATTTTAAAACAATTGGATGATAACTTTTTACGTTAGAGCGTTCACAAGAAATTGTGGACGATGGACGGACGGACCGACGGACTGACGGACGGGGGCGACGGCAATATACGTCCACATTTCAATGTGGGCGTATAAAAATTGTTAATATTTCAATTATTTTCTCACATTTGCGCGTCACCAAATTTCCCGCCAATTTCCAATCTATACGACGATCATGATTTATATATAGACTGTCTACTACCTACATCAAATTTTCCGCTATTTTTAGGTATCAGACCACCTCCGGCCAACATGTAAATATTGTCAATTATCCAACAGAATTGTTTACATTTATTTATTAATGTATAAGATGCTCATCAACATTATCACATTTCAACCCAATTTTAGGCACTGTAATCTCAATATCTCAGACGGGCCCTTCGAGCTGTTCTAAAAGAACGTGGTGTCCTAAATTCTGTCTGTTGGTGATACTTATCCTTAAACCACCAGACTAATTGCTTTTTTTTTCTCTTTATCAGAAGTAGACTGAAGATGGTTTTGAAAGTAATCATTTTAGGCCACTCCTATATCACCAGACTGCAAGGCTACACTGAGATTGTCAATAGAAATTTTAATAACATGGGCTTAGATGGCACTCACATTCAAACTTTTTTTGCAGGACTTGATTGGTGCACTTTGTACCCTGGACCGAAATGCATTTATCGCCAACTTAGAGATATGTCGCTGGCTACTTTTGACTGCGTTTTTCTCCAAATCGGGGAAAACGACATAAAACTGGGGAGAAACAATGACAATATTGTTTTTAAATTGATTGAACTGGCACATTTCCTCGTCAACATAAAAGGAGTGAAACATGTTATTGTAGGACAGCTTTTAAAAAGGCGCTCCGACTTGTTTAATGACTCCATATATCGCCTTAACACCCTTTTAAAAGCCAGGGCCTCCACCTGCCCTATTTTAACATTTTGGGGGCATCGGGGGATGTGGCGGAACCACCACAATTTGTTGAAACCTGACGGTATACACCTAAACGCTACAGGTTTAGAAAAGTTCGCCCAGAATGTCAGATCAGCTATTGGGATTTGTCACAGACGAGGATGTTTTTAATTAGTAAACTAATTGTGTTAATAAGTGTCAGTATTGCCTTACGTTCTATAGAACTGATTGATTTTTTTTTTAAAACAAGTGTTATCAAGTGTCAGTATTGCCTGACTTTCCTCTATAGCACCTATACTGACTGATTAAAAATATTACACATTATAATGCCTTGAATGTTATGATTCGTGTAGATACATGTCATTGTTAGTCGGGAAATGCATTGCACTATCTATTTGTTGCAAGGTTAATTTATTAAAAGTGTCTTCAAAAATAGATAATGCAAAATGAATATATTGAAAATGTAATTCAAATTATTTTATTTTGAACGAAGTTCTCAAATGGTTCTAGCTTTGACAAGATTAGCGGCTGAATATTGATCGGAACCACCGTTCTGGTTATAAGAGTCGAATCACATAAAGGAGGTATCCTTCACAGTTGGAATTCGGTGACCAAACGCCACTGTCCATAGAAAATGTCCCTCATATAGCACTCTGCATAACGTATGCCCACCTTCAATAGTCTGATTGGAGCAGAGAAGTATAGGAAAATTAGATGAGATGAAATGGGGTTTAACGTCCTATTCATTAGCCTAGTCCAGTAGGCAGTAGGACGTTAAACCCCATTTCATTTCATTTCATTTTCCTACGGACCTTTTCTTTAGACAGAGGCGTTTTTTCATCGAATTAACAATGTAAGGGACATACTCTTTGTATACAGTGGCATTTCTTCCTAGAATTCATAATGCGAAGGGGTCTGACACAAACTAGGTCGTTATGGTCGCCATTTTGGGATAGGGCACCCCACAGATCAAGCCGGTTCGGGCGCCCGATCATTTAAGTTGTGGTGTAAATCGTGTGAGACGCCTCATATATTACGACATGATTGGCGAGGCGCCCATAAAAACAAGTGACATTGGTTGGGCGCCCCGCCAATCTTTGTCATGGGCGCCCAACCAATGTCACTCGGCTTTATGTGGCGCCCATACTGATTTGGGCACGTTGGTCGTTGTCTACATATTGCGTCCAATGGAAAGGGCGCCTTTCGGCGCCCATTGGGGGAGCCGATTTTTTACTCAATGGGCAAAGGGCCCTCTGGCTACGGGCATGATAAATGTAGCCTTTAGCGCCATAGGCGCAAAATATTTTCAGATAATATGTAATTTGGGACAGGGTCGGAGGAACTTTGTCTCACGGGAGCGCTTAATTGTTATCATGTTGGGTTTGGCAACGCCGGATTAACCATCATGTGGGCCCTGGGGCCTTGAGCATGTGAGGGGGCCCCAACCTAACACAGAACTTGGGATGGTATTATTTTCACACAGATGGATGTAACAGAATTCCAATTAATTTTGGCATGGAGAAGGGGGGGGGGGGTAACTCGGAAAATCGACAGTATTCATTCTATTGTAACTTCATTGTTTACAATCAAATTAAAAACATTGCATTGTAACAGCAGTTCTATCAAGCCGAGGGCTATTTTGTTGATCAAAAGGACATACTTTACGTCAACTATATTTTTCCATACAATACAAACATTTACTGGCACATAAATACCTTGATGAATAGTTAGGGAACGATAAGGGTAGGATGGTGCCAGGACAGTGGCAATATGCTCTATGACGATCTAATTCCATGTATAATATCATATACCATTTAAAAGAACACTTTATTATCTTTCAACAAATATAATCAATTTCCTGGCACATTAATATCTACAGGGTGAATTGTAAGGTATAAGAGGGGTGGGGTAGCAGACATTGAGGCTATATTAATATAGGATGCTGTCATTTGCATCAGCGAAATTCTGCATGAAAGATCAAATTCCAAGTATATTATCACTTACCATTTCAAAGAATACTTTATCATCTTTCAGAAAATATAAACATTTTCCTGGCACAATAATATCTACAGGGTGAATTATGCGGTATAAGAGGGGTGGGGTAACAGACCCGGAGACAGTATTTATACAGGATGCTGTCATTTGCGACAGCGAAAAGCTATATGAAAAATCAAATTCCAAGTATAATGCCAGAGAGAAATTTATTATCGTTCATAAAAAATAAACATTTTTCTGGCACATTGATATTTTCTTTCAAAATCGTAAGGTATAAGAGGGGTGGGGGTAGCCGACATTGAGGCTATATTATTAATATAGGATGCTGTCATTTGCATCAGCGAAATTGTGTATGAAAAATCAAATCCCAGGTATAATGTCAAATACCATTTAAAAGAACACTGTTTTTGGGGTTTTTTTTTTTAAATTTCTCCAGACAAAAATATGATTGTGGTTGGTGCCAGGTATGGAGAGCCCTGGGCTCACCAACTTACATTATCTATACTAATATTTGTGACTGTCGTTTGTCTGTTCGGGGTTAGCGGCTACACTAGGTCTGCCCCGAGTCTGAAATTTGGGGTATAGGGGTAGCTCGGACCGGGGAGTAACATAGGCCAGGTGGCGTTAGTCTACCACTTGCGGTTTCGGGGTTATAACCCCCGAGCGAAGCCGGGCATTCTTCTAGTTATATATAATTACCGAACAGTATAAAGTTATAATCACAGTTTACTTCATTAATATACATATAGAGAGAGATACAACTTGGTTATTGATCACCGCGTGTACAGCCAAGAGTCGTCTGTTATTTTTATACGCCCACGTGGACGTATATTGTCGTCGCCCCTGTTCTTATCCGATTTTGACGAAACTTGAAATATAGGTTTATCCCCAAAAGATCTCGGCTGCTTTCGATATTGGCATGTATCGGATCGAAACTTCATGGATTATGGCCCCTGTTTGTACGAAAAATCACGTTTTTAGCTTGTGGACCCTAGAGAGGTCACAATTTTTATCCGATTTTGTTAACACTTGAAATGTAAGTTTTTAACCCAAAGATCTCGGTTCCTTTCGATATTCGCGCATATCGAACCATAACTTCCTGAATTATGGCCCCTGATTGTACGAAAAATCGCGTTTTTAGCTTGTGGAGACTATAGAGGTCATAATTTTTATCCGATTTAAAAAAAACGTATTATTATATCACTGTTACACCCTAAGGACAGCTGAGTTCGAATTTCGTGAAAATCACTTTTACGCTAACACCCAGATTCATTAGTTTGAAGTTTTTATTAGTGATGTAGGACGGGTAGCGTTTCCCTCTAGAGGACGTTTTTATTAGTACTGTAGGCACCTTATCCTCTAGGGGACATTTTTACGCTCCGCCCTACTGCTTTAATTGATTAGTTTTATTATTATATGTATTTGGTCATGCCTGTATTCTCAATGAAATCCCAGACAAGCTGAGATGTCCAGTATCTATCATCAGGTTGTGGAGAAAGGAGAGAGTTGAGACAGAAAGTTTTCCCCTCTCTTGCAGTTTGTCAGTCATTGGTCGACGTTCTTTGTTTAATTGATTACAGTAAACTGTTGATTAGCAAGTGTGAGGTGGTTGCAATTTGTCCACACGGGCATTTGATTGGAGTATATGTGTGGTCTCTGACTACATTTGTTGTTTTAAAGTTGCAATTTCATATTTTTAAGTTATATTTTTAAAATTTTATTAAAATAAATGGTATCTATAAACAGTCCTACCTTGTTAAAGAATAATCCTATTAATCCAATAATTCACTATTGCCAGTTGAGAAATTGGCAAAAATATCATTCAAACGTTTGAAGATAACTTCTCCATGGTGGTGAATATAAAACAAGGGAGATAATTGGGAGGTAATTGTGTTATTATTTCCGGTGTAAATGAGTTTTAAGTGTGAGAATTATCGTATAATAGTGACTTGACAACTTATTGAGCAAAAGACATGGACATAATTATGCTTTGACTTTCTTAGAAAATATGAAATTGTAACTTTAAGCCTCGTGATGAGTTTGCATATTTTGATTGAAGGATGATTAATGTAAACCTTGTCTACAAGATTGCCATCTATTTGATAGCGATGTGTGTTTTCTTGTTTTAGACGGGATTTCCATGCATTTTTAATCTTCTCCTTAAAGGTCATGCTACGTGCGACCTTATAAGAGGAACGGCCCCAAGGTCACTGGTCCATTTTTAGATTTATAGCGATAAATATTTCAGTATTTCCATCTTCTGCTTCGGGATATTTTTGATGACTACAGTTTGTAGTTGTCCTGAAAATTTTAACTTGTATATTATATGTTTAATGGTTAATATTATCCAATTAAGTGTTACCTGTTTGTTATTTATTGGGTAAGTTTCTTAATTTCTTATAAAATAAAGACCAAAAATGATCTTTTCCTGACCTAATTCTATATTTATTCCAACAATTTCAAGAATCCAGGATTCTACAGTTTTCCAAAATTTTAGTACAATTTGGCATTCGACAAATAAGTGTTCAAGTGTCTCTGATTGATGTTTACAAAAGGAACATAGGTCTGAGTCAATATATTTTATCTTTTTCAGGAATGTATTAGTAGTTAATATTCTATGAAGTATTTTGTACTGAAACCATTGTAGGTTTGTATCTTGACAGCATTCAAATGGTAATTGGTAAACTTTAGTCCAATCACTGTTTTCAATGCTAAATCCATTATTTAAATATTTCTGTTGGGATAGAGGTGTGATGTGAGTATAGTTCATTATAGCTCTAATATGTGGTTTTCCCATTTTGTTATAACATAGGAAAGGTTGCAGTTTGTGTGGTAAAACAGGGTAGTAGTTGTATGCAAGTGTATATTCTCTCCAGTCAATATTGAGACTTTTTTTCATACTGTTTTATCGCTCTGATTAGTGACCCGTGTTATAAGAATTGGTATTAACTCCATTATAGTTTCCTGGTAATTCATGT